AGCTGTCCTTTTCTCAAGTACCAAGTGTCACCCCCACCTCACTGTCAGTGAGGACCAAGCCTCCTCCAGAGAGGACCTGGGCAATTCACCTCACCTCTCTGTCCTTCTAAGGGAAACCCATCCCTGTATACCGGAAAGTCTCCCCAAGGAACCCATGGGGAAAACTGAAAGGATTACTGGGATAGCGATCCCAGAAAGATTAGGGAAGGAGAAGACACTGAGTCTGCACTGAGTATGTGAGATAAATGGGCGTAAGTGCTCACGGGAGAGAGAGAGAGACAGAGAGAGGGAAAGTAGAAATCAGCCTCCATGGGGGATAGCCACCCTGAAATCCCTTCTCTAGTCTCCTCTCAGGATTTTGGGCACACACACATGCCTGGCATGAGTCTCAAGCCACCAGGTCTGGGGCTTGAACCATGGTTGACCATGTGGGGGTGAGCATCTTAACTACTACACCACCTGCCCCCATTTGGAAATGATTTTTTAAATTTGCGCATGCATGTATACATTCCCACACACTCATACACATACATGTAAGAAAGGTAGTAGCATAATTAAGAGGGACCGTGATGCCGCAGCCCTGCCCACTTGCCCAGCAGTACCTGAGGCAGAAGCCAAGATCTCCTGGGAGGTGGCCAGTCCCAGCACGGGCTTCCGGTATCTGGACAGGACCCAGAGGGACTGCAGGGAGCTCCTCCTGAGTGCCCAGCCCTGCAGGGACCCATCTTCTGCACCACTCACCAGCACCTCAGGACTCAGCCAGGCCAGCGCAGACACGGCCACGTCTAGCGCTTGGCACTGAGCCTGCTGAGAACCTAGAGAATGAAGGAAACGTGCGAGTAGGCCATGTGGAAAGGGGTTAGGGTGGGGAGCTCCCTTCTTCCAAAGGTTCAGAAAACCAGCCATTCCCCTTCAGTACCTGAAGACACTTTGTAGATCCTAATGCCATCTGCTCGGTACCCAACGGCCACCCAACTGCCGTCTGGGCTAAGAGCCACGGAGAGGGCAGGGGAGAGAGATGAGGAACCTAGGCATCCACGAGGCTGGCCCAGAGACCCTGACCACACTTGAACCTGGGGGCCGAGGAAAGAGTTTAAAGACACCCCACCACACCTTAGTCCTTCCCCCCAGAGGTAGAGCCACTGCCATTGAAGTCTCCTTCTACAGTCTTCTAAGTCTGTCCCTGTACACATACCCGCATGCCTCTTCCCGTTGTTCCACAAAGGCCCCACCTCCACCCAATATCCCCAATATCCCCTGCCTCTGCGACTCCCTCCTCGCACCCCACCACCAGCCCTCGGTAGCCTCACCTTGCCATCCTCTCCAGCTGTCAGTAACTGGCATCCAGCACGCATGAAAAACACACCAGCCACAAAGCCATGGTGGGCAGGGAAGGCAGCCAGCCGCACTCCCTCTTGCCAGGACCATAGCTCCACCATGCTGTCCAGCCGGCCTACAGCCACAACCCGTCCAGACACATTGAAGGCCAAGGTGCGGACAGAGGGCCCTGGGGCCCCCAATTCCTATACAGCGAGGTAGAAAGGGAAATGTCAGGGCTTGCTCTCAGCACAAGCCCAAGGTGACACCGAATGCTGATGTCTATCACTCCCCACCTTCTACTCTGTCCTCCTGGGCTCCCCCCCGCCCCCCCGGTGCTACAAAGGACCCTCTTACTTTGGTGATGTTGAGCCCATCCGCCTGGAAGAAGGTGAAGCTGCCAGCCCAGCTGCCTGTGGCTATTAGCTGCCCCTCTGGATGGAAAGCAACGCAGTTCAGGGACTTGGGACAGGTGTGCTGGAAAGCCAACTGCCCACGGACTGTGTCCCATAGCTGGAAGAGAGGAGGGCAAGGAATCGGGGTACTGAATACTGACACCCCAGCTTCTCAGTCCCAGTGATCCAGGAGCTGCCTAGTCCAGACCTCTGCCCTCAGCAGGGAAGGCCTTTGAGCACTCAGTAGCCTCTGCCACACGAGAGCACCACCTGCAGGGCTGACTCACAGTTTAGAGCCTTTGTAACCACCACGGCCCCCCAGTCATTACCTTCAGGCATCCTCCCAGGCACACAGTGGCCAGGCGCCGGCGGGCTGCGCTCCTCAGGCAACAGCCAGTGATTTGGTACTGGTGAGCCTTGGTCTGCAGCACCCTGCCCCAGGAAAACAAAGTCAGGGCCCTGGGGCCCCCGGCCATAGGCTCCCCCCTCGCTCCCTTCCTCAGGGGCTTCTGGTCAATGGGGAAGGTTCTCACACCAAGACAATGTGAAGGGACCCCTTACCGACAGCCATGCTGCAGGTCCCAGAGCTCTAAGAGCCCGTCAAAAGCCGTAAGAAAGAGGGCACTGTCCGAGAGGAACAAGCAAGAAGAGATCCCATCGCAGCCACTCACCACGGACTTCTCCTCCTGTGTCAGCAAGTGGGAAAACGTGGCTCAGGCCACTTCTTGACCTGCCGTGCCCCACCTCTGCAGGCCACAACCAGAGGCCAAGGCAAGGAGGGCTTGAGCCCTTGGCTCTCAATGCCAGATGGAGCACAGGCTCAAGTGGGCCCCCGAGACCCAAGTAGGGGTCCTACCCCACTCCAAGCCCCATTTCTATTCCCCAAGTCACCGAAGACTGGATAGGGCTGAGGGAATGCAGCTACATGACGTGTATACATGGGGTAGAGAATGACACAACCAAGAAGAGAGAGGCTGCAGCTGTGCGACCATGAGACTCACCTCTCTGGCCCAAGCTGCTGCTGCCTCCCGTAAGCAGTCATTCCCAGGAATTTATGCGGAACATTTGCTCAGGTTCCTCACTCAACCTAGAATGACTGCCTGTCTCCAGTCTGTGTGCTATGACTGCACAACTCACCAGCTCTTAATTATGCCACTATGCTTTGGTTCCTTTTTTACCTTGTATATCTTATCTCTCAACAAAAATTGACTGCATAATGGGAAAAAGACAACACGCTAAGCCCCGTACTCCCTACAAGGCTTAGGATAGTGTCTTGAATGGAAGGTGCATAGCAAATACTTGCTGAGAGATTGATTTTTTTTTTTTTTGAGAGAGATTTTTGCTATAGGTTGTGTATGCTCACACAGAAAGACAGAAACAGAAAGTGAGAAATCACCCCCCAGGAGGGATGGCCATGTCATAATCTCTTCTCCTCCATTCTCCTCTTGGGATTTTTGAGCATGTATGCACACACACACACATGCCTGGCTTGAGTTTTAAGCCTCCAGGTCCAGGACTCAACCCGTGGTTGACTATGTGGGAGTCCAACGATGTAACCATTACCCCATCTGCTGGACCCAAGAGAGATTGATTTTTTTGACTAAGCCCTGTGATCTGGATGTGAGAGTAGTAAAGTTACTGAACCAATCACGGTGTAACATGGGTTTGGTTTGTCCATGGCTTCAGGATCATTTGTGAGGGTTTTCTGAAGATAAACTGCCCTACCTCAAGTGTCACATACCTGCCAGGTTCTCAGGTCCAACAGATAAACTGTGCCACTGGCAGTGCCCACAGCTGCTCTCTGCCCACTGGGGGAAAAGGCCACTGCAGTGGGAGATGAGGAAACTGTCAGAGAAAGACTGGAGCTGGAGAGAGTAGGAAGAAAGGAAATGAGAAGGAAGCACATGGGAACGCATTTCTGCACTTGAATCCCATTCTGCCAGTGATTCGGGTCTGTTCCTTTATTCTCCAGTTTCAGAAGAAGCTGCAGCTGCACTCTGTGGACTTTCCAGAGTCTGGGGTCAAGGGTCTCACCTTGGCTGATCCCCCATGGTCTGGGGTTTATTAAGCCATTGCAACATGTGCTGGAGGTGCCATCGCTGGGACAGCAGAGGGGCCTGGTGGCAAAGAGGTGAGTCCAGAGGCTGGTTGGCTGCCTGCTGGGGCAGGAGTAGAGGGTACTGGCTGAGGACTGGCGCCTGCTGCCTCAGAAAGCGGCGGAATACATCAACGTCAGCCTCGGGAAGCTTCTGTTCCTCTTCAGGGACCAAAGAAGCTATATCAGAGAGGCAGAGTATCATTGGGAGCCAGCCTGGACCCTGTTAAACCCAGCACCAATAAAGTCATATGATATATCTAAAATATTGGGTCATCAGAAAAGTCATGATGCATTTTTGCATAGAAAAAAAGAAAAAACACGTCATGACTTTTCCATTGACCCAACAGTAAACCTCAAAATGTGGCCCTTGGACATATCAGAAATATCCATTAAAAATACAAGGCTTGGGACCAGCAGGTGGCGTAGTGGTTAAGGTGCTGGACACTCCCACTTGGACAACCATGGTTCAAGTCTTGGACCTGGTGGCTTGCTTTCTCACTTTCTCTCTCTCTCTGGTCAAATTAAAATAAAATGAATGAATAAATAAAATAAAATAAATAATTATTTTAAAAATACAAGGCTTGGGACCAGCAAATGGCATAATGGTTATGTCACTGGACTCCTACATAGTCAATCGCAGTTTGAATCCTGGACTCGTTGGCTTAAAACTCACATGGGATGCATGTGCGTACATACCCAAGGGCCCAAAAGGAGGATGGAGGAGAAGGAATTGTAGCATGGCCATCCTGCCTAGGGGTTGATTTCTCACTTTCTGTCTCTCTGTCCCTTTCTGTCTCCCTGACGAGCCCACAGGTCCTATAGCAAAAAAATCTCTATCTTAAAAAAAAAAAAAAAAGGGCAAAGCTTTGGGGCCACCGGATGGGGGGGTGGGGAGAAAACAGGACTCCCCACTCTCTCTCTCTCTCTCTCTCTCTCTCTTCCTCTCCTGAGCTCACATGCCCTAAAGCAAGTTTAAAAATAATAATGAATAAAATTAAATAAAACAATATATATATTTTTAAAAATACAAACCTTTTGACCCACTCCAGATCTTGGGAACAAGAATCTAGGGACTTAGGCATCTGAAATCTGAACTCACTTTTTAGATAATTTTATGCCCGCTAAATAGTTTCAATACCCTTGTTCTAAGAGATCTAGGCAAAAGCTCTCCTGAGAATCAGTTGCTCACCCTCTTACCATTTCAGCTTCTTTCCCATTACACCCCCGAGTATGTCCAGGAGTCCCACACCTCACAGCAGCCTCACAGCGACTCATCTCACCATAGAGGGCATGAGCCTCCAAGAGCCGCGAGACCAGGCCCAATTCCAGGTGTGCAGCCACCACGTGGAGATTGGTGAGGAACTTCGCAAGAAGGTCACGGTTCCCGCTCTGGACCTGGGAAAGTCAGATCAGATTCATTACAGATGTGAAGAGGCTGGTGAGGAGGGAAGTCTGGTCTTAGACCCCTCCTATGCAGCCGGGACCTAGACCTAGGAGCTGGGCCAAGGGACCTGAAGGAGGAGGGCAAGAAAACCAAGAGAGGGAGAGAGAGTTTGAGAAGAGATCATGGCAGTGGTGACGGTGGTGGAGGAAGGGGGCACCAAAACACAGACAAAGCTGTTGCCTGGGAAAGGCGTCCACAGGTCGAGGACTAACCAGGTGGTATGGTAGGTCTCCCAGAGCCTCAGGGTGGCAACATCGGAAGGTACCGGAACCATCAGGGTCACATGTCTTCCAGAGCTGAGCTGTGAGATCAGACAACGAGAAGGGCTCAACCCTGCACAGTCCCCGAGATCAAGTACCGTGGGCTACAGGAAGAACTATAACCCCCTGGGGGGCAGGCAAGGAGGCCAGCAGAGGGAAGCATGAGCACAGTCCGGGTCTCTAGCTGCCCCCGCGCTGTCCAGACTGACTGGGGCTGCAGTCACCTGCAACGAGGATGTGCGCTGTGCTCTGCAGCCCCGGCCTCTTCCCGTAGCGACGTTCAGCTGCTGTTCTCAGGGGCCCATCAGGGAGGCAAAGGCGGGCACCAGCGCGCTCCAGAGGGCCCTCCCCTAGCAAACTGTCCTCAGCGAGGAAGGCAGAGGAGGGAGGAGAGGGAGCAGGCCTGTCAGTGAGCACCTGGCCAGCGGTGGGCTCCCACTCCCTCCTCAGATAGTGGTAACTGGAGCAGCAGCTCCTCAGGGTCTGGGAGACAGGGGCAGGGCTATCCAGGGTCATGTGGGGCCACAGCTCAAAGATGGGATGACACGGTGAGGTTGGAGGAGCTCAGTTGGGGCTTCCAGTACCTGCGCAGACTCTGAACAAGATAGGCAAATGGGCCCATGGGTAAGGGGTCTCCACTGCTACCAGCAGCCATTGCTTCTTCCCAGCTCTTAGACCCCCTGGGCAGCATCTTCCATGCACTTAGCACTCCATGCAGCTGGTCCACAGTCAGACCTGGAAACCGAAACTCTGAGACCCCCACCAGACCATGCAGGGCACCCAGCCCCACAAGGCCCAGTCCCTCCTCAGACTGCTGCGGCGGCCCCAACTGAACCAAGTTCATTCGGCCCCTGAGCCCTCGACCTTCCAACCCACCCCAATACTGACCACTACGTGTGACCTCAAGGGTGGCCAAGGCCTGCGGAAGGACATCAGGGCCATGTTCTTGCTCCAGGGTGCTCAGAATGTGCTGCAGCAGCAGAGGGACAGTGGCAGGCAGGGCTCGGAGTCTCTCAGACACCTGGAGGGGAGAGAGACACCGGGGCTTTGGTCACCAAGGGGGGTGGGGAAACAGCTTTGTGTATTGAGGGGGGAGGCAGCAGGAAGAACAACGGGGAGGAACGCAAAGTAAAGAGAAATGGATGGACAAGACAAGGGAACAACAGCAAGGTGAGGACGGGGAATGAGGGTCACAGATGGCAAACAGGAGGGCTGAGGATGAGACAAGGAACTGGGTGGGAAGTAGGATTTGGACTGAGAAGATGAGCACTGACCTGCTCATAGAGCGTGAAGAGCCTCAGGTGATCAGTGACCAAGCGCAGGTAGAGTGGCAGACTGGACCCTCGCTTTACCAGCAGCAGCCGCATCTGATGAGAGAGAGAAGTCAGTGCGGACTCCCCTGCCTGCACCCAGCCCACTGCAAGGCAGCACCTCCTGTCCCCAGCATCACCTCAGGGCACAACCCAAGTCAGCCCTCCCCTACTCCACCCAGCAAGCCCCTCTATCAGGAAACCTCTAGCTTAGCCTTCTCATTGACAACCATGGCTTTACATGTGGCCTCACCCTGACAGGCCCTAGGGAGGCTATTCACCAGCAGGAAAAGGCTGGGTGATACTATAAGAAACCAAGGTTATCTTTTCAAAATTTTTTTTTATAATTTTATGGTTTTTGACTAAAACATTATTGATTTTCTTCTATGCTTTGTTGCCCAGATTTAAGGATTTTTGTCTTACCTTAAACTGCTGACAGGTTCCTCTACCTACTGTTTGAACTAAATCCTAACCTTTTTCCTGGCTTGAAGTCTTAAGCAAATTTCTCTTAACATGTTTTTATTTTGATCTATTAAAACTAAGACTGTTTTTCTTGAAATTAAAAAATGCATTAAAAAAATAAAATACCTAGGGATCATCAGTTGGTGTAATGACTATGTCTCTGAACTCCCATACAGTCAACCACGGTTTGAGTCCCGGACCCGGTGGCTTAAACTCATACTGGTTGCGTGTGCGTGTGTGTGTGTGCCCAAGATCCTGAGAGGAGACTGGAGGACAAGGGATTGCGGTGTGGCCATCCTCCCTGGGAAGTGATTTCTCGCTTTCTGTCTCTCTGTCTCCCTCTCTCTCTCTTTCTGGCAAGCGCACGCACCCTAAAGCAAAATGCTCTCAAAAAATAAAAAAAACCTATGTAAGGACTGCAGTAAGGTATACAGCCCCAGCTAGGTGCTACTCTCTGAGATTTATGCCTAAAGTCAGACATGTATTCACGGATACGTATATATTAGCTGCACATGCTATTAAAAGTATTTAGAATAATTAAGATCTTTACTGAATCAATAACATAGGGGGAAAAAAAGAGCAGTAACTATAGATGCCAGAGACAGTGTATCCGAGGGTGGGAAATGGCAGAGATGAGAGATATAGGGAATCAAGGGGGTAAAAAAAAGAGGCAAAATATATTAGAAATAAGAAAGGGAAAATCATTTGTTGATGATAACACGTATGGTACTATCCTTGATTGAGCCACTATACAGTGTACTCTGGATGGAAAATCTCACTCTGTATATTGTAACGATGTACAGTGAATGAATGTAAATAAATAAATTTAAAATTTAAAAAGTAAATAAAAATAATTATTTACTTAACTTTATTATTATTATTGTTACTATTAATTTGCTATTGAACACATGTGCTCACCAGAGAGAAATACAGAGAGAGAGAAAAGGAGACAGAGAAAGTGAGAAAGCAAGCCGCCAGGTCTGGGACTCAAACTGCAGTCAGTCATGTGGGAATCCAGCACCTTAACCACCATGCCAACTGGCTGGTCCCACAGTTATCTTTTTAACAATCTCCGCAGAACAGAGGGCCAAGAAATCGAATGAGAAAAGTCTATGCAGGGCACCTGGCAGAGTCTGCACCCTGAGTCCCCAAGGCTCCCAGATTCACCCCATAAGCCCTGGTCTAGATCAAACCTGGTTGTTAAAAGGCGACTCCTCCAGCCGCTTCCCATAGAGCGCCAGCTCCTCTCTTACCAGCCGGGCCCGAGCAGATGGCTCCAGTGGCCCCAGGGCCACCACACGGGCACCTGGGCTCTGCTCGAGGGTCTCCCCCAGGCCTGAGTCACTAGACACACTCAGCACCAGATGGACCCGCTGTGATATTTGGGCAAAGGGGCAAAGAGAGAAAAAGAAAAGGAGAACAGTGTCTGAGACTCCCCTGTCCTGTGTGAGGCATCCCTCCTCAGCCTGCCTCCCCTCACCTCCTCCTCACACTCACCCGGGGAATGGTCTTTGGGATCCAGTCTGAGATCAGCTGCCCATTCTGGTCTACCAACCTGTCAGCCCCATCGACAATCAGGACAAGGGTCTGGCCAGACTGCAGGGACTGAGCAGCCTTGAGCAGCAGCCTCTGCTGCAAGTCCCACACGAGGCCCCTGGGTGGGGGGAGTCGGGGTCAGTGGAGGTGCCATGCACCATCTACAGGCTGGGCTAATCAGGGATACACACCGGTAGGTGCTGGGGAGGACGCTGGGCTCTTGCACTTGGCTGTGTAGGTAGGTACAGAGGCGTCTGAGCAGGGTGAGGGCAAACCCCTGGTCAGGGCGGGCCCCTGAAAAGTGGAAGAAGACTAAAGGAGCCACCTTGACCCCATGAGGAGCCCTGAGGGTTGATACAAGGGATGCCTACATGGGACAGAAACAGAAAACATGGTCACGTTTTACATGCACGAGCTCCCTGTGCCCTGCCTCCTTAGTCCACAGTCCTCCCTCCCTCCCACCCAGGCCCCTGAAGCTGTACCAGGAATGCGGTCTTGCCCTGTCCCGACTGCCCAGTCACCAGGCTCAGCCCCCCTCGCTGCAGTATCAGCTGCTGCACAGTGTCCTGAAGAAGGCGCGATCGGGCGGGACTCGGTGGGTTCTGCAGCTGCTGAAAGGTGGCTTGGACCAAGTCATCATCTGGGATGGACACTGGCTGCTCCGGCTGGGCCCCAGGCTGAGGGCACAGGGCCAGTGACTTAAACCACAGAGCGCCCACCAAGATACTTCCCTCCCAGGACTACCCAGACCACCTACCCGCTCTCCATTCCCCAGTGCTCCTGCTGACCTGTAGGTAAAGCTTTTGTATCATATCCCACACATCCTGCAGGATCAACTGCCCAAACTCCTCCAGCCCTGCAATGTAGGGCCGGCCAGCGGCCACACCCCCCCACTCACAGGAGTATCTGTGGGCAAAGCAAGCACAGCCAGCGTCAGAGCAGGCCTGGTCCTTTCAGCACACCTCTCTACAGGTGCTCCCTACCTCCCAGCTCACCTGCGACAGGTAATCCCCTTCTGTCTGCTCAGATAGGTCTTCAGTTCTGAGATCCGATGTGCAGCTTCTTCTGACTCAGAAATAAAGTCAGATTTCCAGGCATCTGGCACAGAGCTGAGCACCAAAAATACACCCCAAGAGTGGGGCTAGACTCAGGCCCAGCCTCGCTCCTGCAACCAACACCTGTGGCTGTGACCCCTGAAACTCCCCAGGAGACGAGTGCCTGCCTTCAGCTCCAAGGCTGATTTGGACTGCAAAGACTGTTCTCTGAAGCCTGTTTCTCTCTTCCAGCTCCCTTCTCCTATACCCTGAGAACTGGGGACAGAAGACTTGGCCACTGAGCCTCGCAGGACTCCTGTAGACCCCTGGCCAGAAGGTGACGGAAAGTACCTAAGGAAGCCAGAATCCCGCAAGTAGATGAGAGCGTGGGCAGAGGGCTGCTGGCGGAGGCCCCGATTCAGGAACTGCATCACCTCCATCTCTGTCACAGAGCGCCCCGGAGGGTACTGCTGGGCCTGTACAGAGGGGGCAGGGACAGGCGTGTTCAGCCCTAGGTCACTAGGCCCTCACTAGCCCCTCCTTAAGACCATCCCATGCCCCAGGGTGCTAGGGATGTCCCACCCTCCCTTCAGCCACAAGCCAATACAACTAACAGCTAACGTTTGCTGAATGCCTGTCATACAGTAACCAATTTTTAAGAGACTTTAAACTTTCATAATAACCCTGCAAAGCAGATGTCATTGCTTCCCTTTAATGTGTGGGAAATTGAGGCTAAGTTACATTAGGCTGCTCCCCACAGAGCTGTACAACCCGGAAATGACAGGAGAGTGATCAGAACCAGATCCAGCTGAGGGCAAAGCCTAGACAGACCCACCCTCTTACCTGTCACATCCCTTGGCCAACCCTGAAAGTACTTCTCAAAGAAATTGCCCTCATCTAAACTTGGGCTCTCGTAGAATCTTCTGCCTGTGCTGTGCTTCACGTTTCGAGGCCCTGCCTGTGCATAGCTCCAGGGCTCTTGACAAGCTGTGGCTTCCTCCCACCCTGCTCCAGCCTTTGCTCCTTTCCCACCTTACCCAGTGGAAGTGAGGGTGATCAGGAAGGTTGTAGTTGGGGGGAATGTAGCCATAGCGGGAGCCCAGAATCCCCACGAACAGCTGTGAGTTCTCCACCTCGCCAAGGCACACTTCCAGTTGTCTGCAGGTATGGTTAGAGACAGGTGGGTGTCACAGGCACAGTAGTAGAGAGTACAGGCACGAGTGGGTGATGCAGACCTGGCTCACAACGGAACAAAGCCAAGGCATGCTGCTCCCATTAGCAACCGTGGGCAGCTCCCCCAACACCCTCGTCCCTACGGCCCCAACCTGGCTCACTTCAGTTCCGCTACTCAAGCCCAGCCCCTGTCCTCTGTGGCCCCCGTACCTGTTCCTACGGGTCTCCTCCTCAGTGATGCCCCAGCGCAGGTCAATGCCGTGAAGGCTGATGCGGTGAGGAGCCGCTCGGGCCTGCAGTGCCGGTAGCACAGACCTCAGCAGTAGGTCCCGCTCGCCGTGCATATCTCGGAAAGTGGATGAAATGAAGAGCCGGATGCTGCGCCAGCTGGGGTGAGCAGAGGGTGGAGCTCAGTCTAGGGATCAGTGTATTACCCAATCCACAGACACAGTCACCACTGAGCACAAGCCAGGTATGACGAGCACAGGGGTGTCCAGCAGGCTTTTGCTCACAGTCTCACCACAGAGCCCTGGAATCTACACCATTTGCCATTGCTCATGCACCCCTCTTTTACCAGCTAATCATTATAACACACTTAAAATCTTGTCCATGGTGACACTGTGAGGCAAGCAATATTTTTTTAATTGAACTTTATTTATTTTTAATTTGATCAGACAGAGAGAGAGAGAGAGAGAGTGAAAAAGCAAGCCGCCACACCCATTACTTGAACCATGGTTGGCCATGTGGGAGTCCAGCACCCTTAACCACCACATCATGGTAAACACTATTGTTATCTCCATTTTACCAAACAAGAAATTATAGCTTTCAGAAATTAAGCAACTAGTCCAAAGTTCAACTACTATTGGCAAAGGTAGGATGAAAAAGCTAGAGCCGAGTCAGCCTGTGGCACAGTGGTTAAGGGGCTAGATCCCATATGAATGCCTGCATGGCTCAAATCCCAAACCCAGCAGCTTGAAAGTCATGCCAGGTACACGTGTGCATGTGCCCAAAATCCCAAGAGGAGACTGGGAAGAAGAGATCTCAGTGTAGCCATCTCCCCTGGGGGATGCTTTCTCACTTTCCTTCTCTTTCTTTCTCTCCAGCAAGCACATGTGCCTTATATACGAAAAGGAAGGAAGGGAGGGAGGAAGAAACAGAAGGAGGGAAGGAGAGGGAGAGAAAGGAAGGAAGGAGAGGAAGAAAGGAAAGGAAAAGCCAGAGCCTGTGCTCCTAAGCCCTGGCTACATGACTGTGGTGCCTGCTGCCCTCCCCACATTCTAACCTCCTTTCCCCAGTAGAGAAAGGAACATGTTCACAATCTGATTATTTCCTGTGCTAGAAAAACCCTGTCTCAGAAAAAGGAATCATGCCCTGGTGAACAGAACAAGGGACGTCTCAACTGCCAGAATTTTAATCACAGAATTTCCTGGGGTTTTGATCTCAGCCCCTCCCAAATCACAAGGCATAGAAATACAGACTGACCCGTGCTGGGAAATAGGAGCCAAGGGGCTTGGAGTATCCTCTTCCAGTGGCCGGAGAGAAAGTACTTCTGTCTTTCCTGGAGATGGTGGAATCTTAAATATCTTGTCCATTTGGCCCACATGTTCAAGGAGACGGGAGGCCCCACGCTCTGCAATGAACCTGACATAAACAACAAAATTAACAATATCAGAGGTTTGAATCAGAGGGCCAGGGGGACAAAGATATGGCCAGGTTAGGTCACCCAGTTAACGAGCTTTTTAAGAAGAAGACCATAAGCAGTGAGTGCAATTTAAAATAAACAGGGCTGCAGACATAGGAATGATGGGGTAGAGAAGAAATTCCGCTCTAGCCCTCCTGCTAGGTATGGTAACTATAAGCTTCTGTCAGGCTAGGGACAACCGGGCTGGGCTAAGATATAAAAATCAGGCCATCCCAGCATCCCAGTCTGGGCTTGATCAGCTCTGCCTGCCAGAAAAGTGCCCTGGAGAAGGAGGAATGTGCATAAGGTTTCCTTAACAGGAGTTGGGGAAAATGTGGAGCACACAAAGGAAAAGAAGTGTGTGTGTGTGTGGGGGGGGCAGGGATAAAAGTAAATGGGAAGGCTAAGAGTGGAGAAGATTTCTGTAATTCAGTTCAACACCTGGAATTTTCTTTGGATCAAGAATTGAACAGAGACCACAGTGATGTGAGCAACTTTTGAGTTATTCTCTTATAAGCAAACAGTGTACTCTCTCATGTCCCTTTCCCTCTTTCCTATTAAATGTAATAAAAACTTGACTGGATACAGAGATGGCTGGAACTGAAGCAGCCATCTTGAACCAGGAGGTAGAAGCTGAGTATTTGAGGATGGCAGTACAATAAGACAGAAAGTGCCCATGTCCCTGTAACAGTGTGGCTACTATGCCTGGACAGCTATAATAAAATAAACTTGCTGGATCCCACATGGCCAGCTCCATCACAGTTCAAGTCCTAGATCTCGCAGGTTGAGAAACACACCAGACACATATACATGTGTGTCCCAAATCCCAACAGGGTGGCAAAATGACAGAGAAGGGACTGTGGTGTGAACATTCCCCAAGGGAAGTGTTTTTTTCTCTCTCCCTCTCTCTGTCCTTCTGTCTCTCTCTGGACAGTGTACATGCCTTCTGGCAAGATTTGTTTTGTTTTGTTTTTCCCATAGGGCACATGTGCTCACTACAGAGAAACAGAGAGAAAGTGAGAAATCACCTCCTCCTTCCCCCTTGGGAGGATGGCTACACCACAATCCCTTCTCCATTCCCCTCTCAGGATTTTGGGCACGCATACACACACACCTAGAGTAATTTTCAAGCCACCAGGTTCAGGATTCAAACCGCGGTCAGCCATATAGGAGTCTGGCACCTTAACTACTACACCACCTGCTGGCCCAGCAAGATTTTAAAAAATAAAATAAAAAATAAACTTGTTTAAAAATTATGTTAATGGGAGCAATAGTCACAGATAATCTCTTATAGATGTCTTAATGAAGTCTCCAACCCCTTCAATGTCCATCCTGTACTCACTTCAGAATCCCATCAGTACATCCTGAGAGTGTCACATCATTGCAATTCAAATCTGATGACCTGGCAAAGGAAGCAGCAGCCAGCCATTAACCATCAGAAATGGTGCCTGGAACACAGAGTCACTGGCCCCTAACTCCTTAAGATGCCCCACCTCTGCACTTGTAGCATGGTTATACACTAGGCTAGGGCTGGGAATTATCCTCCCAAAGGGGTACAGAGCTAGACTGAAGATTTTCAGAGAAGGTTCTACCACCTGAAGTGCAACAGAGGCAAGAGGGTGAGACAGGAAGTACACGCCTGACAAGGGGAGCGTCCTGGGCTGTGATCACGGTCAAGGGATAATATGAATCATTGATTTCTGACCCTGTTCAGGTGGGGTAAGCATTCTTACGGGTACTGTTTCCCTCTTAGGAGGACACCAACAAAGAGGCACTTGGCGTTCACATGCTGCCAGAAAAGCTGTTTGGCCACAATTGTCATACTCTCATTAATCGCTTGGCCAAAGACGATGACCCTGTCCACCTGTAAGATTGAAATGGGAGGGGTCAAGGCCAGGGAAAAAGGGGCCAGAAGAAATTCTAAAGATCTCAGGACATCGGGAAAAGGATTGGGGGATTAGGAGAACTCTCAAGAAAGTAGGAAATCATCTCTCCTGAGAACAAGGAGAACGAGGCATGCCACGACACTTTGGCTTGGGGTGTGTCAAAGTGAAGGCTGGGGTTGGGGGCACAGGAGCACTGGTGTGCTGTAGCTGATTCACTCAGGAAGCTCATGAGAACTCACTGCTACATTTTTATAAATCGTTGACAACTGAACCAGTTGTTAAATGTGGCTACCAAATGATCTGAACTTAAAATCAGATAGATTATATTTTAAATAAAGAGAATAAATGCTCAAAACTCATCACTTCCTATTTTACTATGGTTTACTATTAACTACTCTTGAGCTCATTTACATCTGCGGTATAGGTGTTGAAGACGTACTTTTCAGTGGTGTGCTACTGAGCATCTCTTCTCAATTCTATGTTGAGTGACATCAAGCTGGTAGCTTGAAACTGGCCGTGGAAAGACTTTTAAATATCTGTGATAGGTTTTGGCAGGTGGCGTGGTGGTTAAGGCATTAGACACTCTTACATGGCCAACCATAGTTCAAGTCCCAAACCTGGAGGCTTGCTTTCTCACTTTCCCTCTTTCTCTCTCGTCAAGTTAAAAATGAGTGAATAAATAACATTTTTTAATAACAATAATAATTTGTTATAGGTTTGTGCACACCCAAGAGAGACAGAAAGAGAAACAAACATGAGAAAGCACCTCCGACAGGGGATGACCACATCACAATCCCTTCTCTTCCATTCTCCTCTCGGGATTCTGGCCATGTGCATATGTGCACCCAGCATGTTTCTCAAGCTGCCAGATCCAGGACTCGAACTACAGTCAGCCATGTGGGATCCAGCCACCTCAACCTCCACACCACCAGCTGGCCCATGGTAAGACCTTACACACCATGGAAATTAGAAAATACTATCAAGCAACTTATTTTTCCATACAACTATTTACTAAATATTTGTGAGCACAGCAGAGGGTAGGGAATGGCAAGAAGACATGAACTGAGCTGGATATTATACATGTTTTGGAAGGTCAACTGTGAAGGGTAAGGAATTGAGATACATCTATTACAGAGGAAAATGTCGGGGAGAGGGAGAGTTTTTCAGGAAATGAGCAGTACTCACAGGGACCCTTTGGACGGCAAGAGATAGCAGGTATTTCCCAAAAGTACGCAGAGACCATTCATCGCTTTCATCTAACTCCTGCGAGAAAGAGATTCGGACTATACAACCACACAGGAGCTAATATGTAAGCAGCCAACACCACAAACTTCCTGGGAAACTTCCGAACTGCGTATATCCATGGTTGTACTAACTACTGTGTTCAGGCTGTTCCCAGGCCTGCATCCACTCACACACTTCCGGATGGTGGGGCAGCTGTCTGACCTGGACCTGGGCCTGCAGCTGGATGGCAGTCTTCAGGATGCCTTCTTCTGCCTTAAGCACTGCAGTCTTCAGAGTGCCCCCTCCACACAGCAAGAGATCCGCCTGCTCCGCCCTTGCAATCATCATTCCAATCAACAGCAGCACATAGTTCAGGGGTGGCTGGCAAGGTGAAGAGCAGACTGAGAAAAAGCTCCCCTATTTTGGAATCCACCCTTGCCCACCCTGCCTTGTAGGCCAAACACCTCCACTGGTTTGAGGAAAGGGACAAAAGCCCCAGTTAGGAGGGGCCAACTTCAGCAGCCTTCAGGAAGAACTGACCCAGGAAGGGGTAGCAAGGAGCCAGGATCCCTGCATGCTACCAGCCCCATGGAGGGTGCTTTTTACATTTTACCCCTTGCGAGTTGCTCTTAGGACAGAGCTTGTCTGCATCAGCATCTGTTAGATAGACCAAAAGGGTGCGGCCTGGCAGGGGAGGCAGGCTGTGCTTCACAGAGATGTTCACTGCTGTCTCCAGGGCCTGTCGGTACTGGTCCAGCATCTCACTGTCATAGCTCCACTGTCTGCAGACAAGAAAGACACAGACACAGGGGCTCAGGGCTCAGGGCTCAGGGGCTGCACCTTTAAGGCAGATGGGATGATGAGAACTAGCCACTCAAGCATTGAGTCCTCTCCCTCCCTCCTCAAGCATTACCAACACCACTACCAATGCCATACCACAGCCTGCCTCCCACTCTCTTCCACAAGCCCACCTCCACTGTTGGTACAGAAGACTGGGACAGAGCCTCCCCCTTGTCTCCATTATACAGGGTCATTCAAATCCACTCTCATGGCAGAAGAATAGAATCGTCTGCCAACTCACTCTCTGACGTCACTTGCCCTACTTAGCACATTAACACGTACTTACTTTACAGGCAAGATTTAACCACTACATATTTTAAATTGTATTTTAAAGAACAAATACTAATTCCTTACTCTGAAAACTGGCAATTAAAGTATAATAGATTTAACATTCATTCCATCTTTTCTACACAAAATATGGGTATCTTAAAAGTTTTAGGGCTCCCTGAACTGTAGGTGTGCAGGAGTCAGCAACCAGGCCAGTGCCGGAACCATGTTTCGAAACCAGTATGACTATGATGTCACTGTTTGGAGCCCTCAGGGCAGGATTCATCAAATTGAACATGCTATGGAAGCTGTTAAACAAGGTTAGGCCACGGTCGGTCTGAAATCAAAGACCCATGCCGTGTTGGTTGCATTGAAGAGAGCACAGTCCGAGCTCACAGTTCATCAGAAGCAAATTTTCCATGTTGACAACCATATTGGTATCTCAACTGTGGGGCTTACTGCGGATGGTAGACTGTTATGTAATTTTATGCACCAAGAGTGTTTGGATTCCAGATTTGAATTTGATAGACCACTTCCTGTGGCTCAGCTGTGTCTCTAATTGGAAGCAAAACCCAAATAGCAACACGATATGGCCAAAGACCGTATGGTGTTGGGCTGCTCACTGCTGGTTATGATGATATGGGCCCTCACATTTCCCAAACTTGTCCATCTGCTAACTATTCTGATTGCAGAGCTATGTCCATTGGAGCCCGTTCTCAGTCAGCTCGTACTTACTTGGAGAGACTTATGTCTGAGTTTATGGACTGCAATTTGAATGAACTGGTTAAACATGGTCTGTGTGCTTTAAGAGAGACTCTTCCTGCAGAGCAGGACCTAACTACAAAGAATGTTTCCACTAGAACTGTTGGTAAAGACTTAGCGTTTACAATCTATGATGACGATGATGTGTCTCCATTCCTGAAGGGCCTTGAAGAAAGACCACAGAAAAAGGCACAGCCTGCCCAGCCTGCTGATGAACCTGCAGAAAAGGCTGATGAACCAATAGAACATTAAGTGATCAATCTGTCTATATGTGTATGATCAAACATGTAAGAAAGCAGGAACACATGGCTACAGTGATGATGACAGTAATCTATACTTTGAACCAAAAGATACAGAGTGCTAGAATAGTATGTTGTAGGAATCAGTTGAGATGTGGGTTTTTTCCAAGCAGCCTCACCATGGAGCTATAAATGGAGAGCATTGTTCTTTGAAAGGGTCTATTATAAT